TTAAAATGCAGTTCCTAGAGATCTAAAAGTACTCTGGATAGCCTAAAAAGTGTTTTAATGTCTTTAGGAGGAAACCGTCGTTGGGTGCCCCTGAAAACAGCATTGTTTTGGATTTATTTCTTTTTATAGTGTTCACCTTCTCCTAATTTTCACTGCAAGATTATTTTCAGTTGGTGCAATCGATTGGAACAAAATCATTTATTAATAGTCGTACAATTCTTCAGCAACAGAAATACAACATACATTTTAGTACGGCACAAAAATGTTCCACATTATCCTCTGCAAGAGACGTGTCCTCAACATCATCGTTATTTTCATGATAGAAAGCATACTACACACTCAGCTTCTTTGAAGAAAGAACCCAGATCTTTATGCTGTTGACTTGTGTCAATTTCGTTTGGCCTTCTCTAACTGCCACTTGTTTTGAAAAAATAGTTTTTACCTCTATCCTTCCGTCGTAAACCACGTCTAGAAGAACCGCACTATTCTTATCCTTGGTTATATAATTATTGGGATCAAATCAAAGAGGTTCTTTCTTTTCATTTTGATCATAATCTACAATAATTATTTACAATATCACTATCATTTCTTAATTAATCATGAATCATGCATTAGCTTGTTTCAGAATTTTGCATTCACTAGGGAGGCGTGCAGAAGAGCCTCTCTTGGTACCCTGGGTGCGGCAAACACGGGGATTATTTTCAGCATTTTCTTCGTCACTACTGTCCTCCTCTGAATCACTGCTGCTCTCTTCATTACCTCTTTGGCCAACTAAAGAGCCCTACATAGAGAAAAAAAACAACTTACTTAATACAGTTTAACTTTGCATAAGCCACCAACCAAAAGCCAATACTGATCTCCTTGGGAAGGAAGTTGCTTATGAGACTGTAACGTCGAACCACAGGGGTCTCTGCCAGGAAAAAATCTGATTATCTACTTATTCAAAGAGAACTTGTTGCTTTCAGTTTCTGATAATTGTAATATGGGCGTTGTCTTGCTGTCTCTAAGAGATCCTCTATAGCCTCAAGACTCGATAAAAGTCCCATCTGGTAGTCCGGGACAAGCAGGTTTTCTTGCTGGGCAAGTAAGTTTTCTAGCTTACTTGACCAATGGGCAAGAGTCCAGGCAATTTATCCTTGAACAAAATCTTTAACTAAGAGGAGCAGGAAGTGGCCCTGGGAAAGCAAAAATATGTAGAATGGCTTGCCCAGAAGACAAGCTGGAATTTAAGATTTTTTTTTAATCGTGTAGCCTGATCACAGTATAGAAAGACATTAGTCTGGAGAGAGGCATCCCTTCAACTTCAGCAGATTCCATTCAGGCAACTTACTGTAAATAATGATCTAATACATACCCCTTTTTGAATAAACATAGTCTGTTACATAGCTGTTATTTAACCAAAGAGTTTCTGTATGTAACATAGTTTCATTTAAGAGGTAACGGCAACGTTTGATAGCATTCCAAATGTAAACAAATTCTGTTAATAACACAAGTTGCTAAACTACAGCTGTATTTACTACCTTCACTGATGCAGCTGCAGATATCTTATGGCCTGTTGCATATTTTTGAGTCCACTCCTTTGCTTTTTGAAGAAATTGAGGCCTGTTGAATTTGTATTCCTCAGACTGAAGAGAAAGCAACATTAAACCTCCATTAATGAATGTATTTAAATGGAGGCTTATATCCAGCCAGGAGGGCTTATAATTGGATGTATTTTTTTGTTTTCAGGGCCTATAGGGGCTTTAATAAGTTCTCCTCAATTGTGCCGTAGGAAATCTAAAAAGAAGTTCTGACCACGATGTTTCTTTCAGTCACACACTCAGGCAACAAGGAAAAAGAAGTCCAAGTTTGCCCAACATAAGTCAAACCAAAGACCTTCACGTTACTAGGCAAAATGCTCTACCAACAGGGTGCAAAAAAAGTCACTTTTACAGCCTGCCATTCTGGCAAGCTGTAGCTGGCATGTACTAGCCCATAAGTCATTTCAACTAGCCCCAAAACCCTTTTTGATTAGCAGGATTGATTAAAATCCTTCTGTAATTTGAATTTCCTCCCAAAACAGCACTTGCCCATCGGGCAAGTTGAGAACAAAAATCACTAGCCCAATAGCAAAATCCACTAGCCCCGGGCTATCGGACATGACTTTCTTTGTATGCTGACCAATGAGCAACAGGAGACGGTCACTATGAGTCTACTGCTAGTCAGGCGCATAACCAATGGTATTTTTTTAATGCACAATGGTGAATTTAAGCGTTAAGAATATGAGAATTTTGTGACTTCAGTCAGTGATGCAGGTGACTCAGAAAAAATTTGAATTTTTCTATCAGAAGTCAAACCTATGAGCTTCTGACTACCAGCCCAAATGCTCTACCACTGAGCTACAGACTTGTGAGAGTCTTGGGTCATGTGACAAACATGATACACTATGTATGCTGATTGCAAATAATAATAATGTGTTGATATAACAGTTGATAAGTTAAATATTATGTGATAGCCAAAAATGCATGTCATATCACGAGAAATGAAAACCACTGATGTACAAATTTTGTAACAATATTATAATTACAATTTCTGCCACAAGTGGATCATCAGGGTTTGGTTCTGCCATCAGAAGCTGTATTGACGTTAGCACTGTTGATATGTTCAATGCTGGTTTCCATGCTCCCTAACAAAATTAAGCAGACAACTTAAATGATGTATTATATTTTGAACACGAAAAATAAAAGCATTTCCCATGAAAAAATAAACAGAACATGACCTTGAATTAGAAATAGTACATTTATTTTTTTGTGTATATGACACCAATTTTTTTCAAACTGACTTTGGTTCTTAGATAAGTTTAATTAACGATTCTGAACTTTAAAAACGTGTCTCCTAAAATTTTCTGGAATTTTGTGCACCCAAGAAGTGCTCTTTCAACTTCAGAAATGTCACAGATTGTGAATGAGTAAAGGATCAAGAATAAGGCTGATGACATCATGTTCATTTGCTCAGTCTTTGCTTCTGATTCTGGTAATTTTTTGTTTTGTTTTGTGGAATTAAGGGATAACTTGACTGTGACCAAAAGTACAGCAAAGTTGATGCAGATTCTGAAGATGGTTGGTGAGTTGTCGACAACAACAATCCTATTTGCCGCCATTTTGTAAATTATTCTACATTCTTGCAGATCTTTCTACATCACACTGACTAATTTGGCCACGCAGTAGGGCAGACATTTTGGAGAAAATTTGCGGTGTTTTGAAGACAAAAGATAAATTTTGCAAGATTTTTGATGAGTTTAAATGTCAGATACATATCTACACATATTTAAGAATTTATTAAATAAATAAATAAATAACGTCTTTATTAAAAAGCATCCAATAAAATTACATATCTGATGTTACAGTAAAAATATATATTGATAGAAAAAAAAAAAATTACAATGATTAAGACGAATAAAAAAGATTAAATTGATTAAAAATACATATGGGGTATTTACACAGCTAGATTATATTTAAAAATTAATCTATTAATAAAGCTATCTTTGAAACGTTCAGTGTTAATGCTGGGCCTGACAATGGATTTCCTTCAAAGGTTTGCAATACAGTCTTTGTACCTTGGGAGCAAGCTTTTTAATGGATGGTCATCGCGTTTGAGGTTATAAAAAAGGCGTCTGTCGCTTTTCTCCAAAAGTTCATATATGTTGTAATTGAACGACGTATAACGCCTCTTACAGCATCTTTTTAAAAACCTTTGTATAACAGTAAGTTCGGAAACACTTGCAGCATAAACTGAAAGACCGTATAATAACTTAGGGATCACAATTGAATTAAAGAGGTGGTCTATTTCATCTTGTGTATATCCTTCTTTACGTAGGCTTCTGATGACAAATAAACACTTGTTGGCTTCATGGAGCTTGGCCTTGACATGCAAGCCAAACTTACAATTACCTTGAATTGTGACGCCTAATAAAGAAATGTTATTATATTGTTTGATATTGTGAGACATTGGGTAGACTGTTGAATTGCCTCTCTTACGCATAATTAGCTCCTTACATTTACTAGTGTTACAATGCATGTCATTTGCAACAGTCCAATCCATAAACTTGGACAAGGCAATGTCAGATATATCCGGGGAATCTTTAGTAATCGTGACTAAGACGGTTGAATCGTCTGCATATTTAAACAAGGATATATCTTTGTACCCATCTATCTCTAGGTCATTCAAAAATATGTTGAAAAGATATGGGCCACTGACACTTCCCTGTGTTGTTCCCTTGTTAACAATTTTCCACTGGCATGTCAAATTATTAAAAATCACCCTTTGTTTTCTACCTTCGAGAAAGTTGGCATACCAGTTAACAATGAATGAATCAAGTGGACTATGTTTCAGCTTTTCAACTAGAAGATTGTGTTTAACGTTATCAAAGGCTTTAGAGAAATCCATCGTGAACATTCTCACCGCTAAGGTGTCCCGTTTATCCAATGCCGCAAGAAATGTATGTTGCATTTTCAACAGAGCGTTAACACAACTTCCACCTGAACGGTACGCAAATTGAGAATTATTCAGATATTCCTCCAGGCACCTCTTGTTAAAAATGTTATACACTGTTCTTTCAAACGTTCTGGCAATAACTGGAGTAACATTGATTCCTCTAAAGTCCGCATATTCGACTGGTGTCTCGACTTTTGGGAGTGGATTGATGTTAGCCTCCTTCCAACGACTTGGCCAGATCTGCCGAGCAAGAGATAAGTTCCATAAATTCTCAATCACTGGGGTAAATATCTCAGCAAAATCTTTCCATATCCAGAAAGGAATCCCATCAGGTCCGGTGGCAGTACGCTTTATTCGCGATAAGGCAAGAAACACTTGAAATGTAGATAGTTGTGGAGCAGGGGTGTTAACATCAATCTCGGCAGGAACTGGTTTAGAATATTCCCTATCAAAGCAAATGTCGCCGAAATAATCATTTAAACCAATGATGAAATCTTCATCTGGATCGGAGCTGCACTTGTCTTTACGCATAGACAGTCGATCAACTTTCCTCCACCAGGCTCGCGATCCAAGTTTCCCAGACGCCAAAGCTCGGCGATTTTCAGCTATTAGTCGTCCTATCTTCTCCGTCAGTTCAGTTAGGTCTCTCCCGCCGCCTTTTCGAGATCTTGTTTTTTTCTTCTTCAGGAGCGATTTCACTAAGGGACTCATCCACGGAGGGTCTCTAGAAGACATTCGAATCGATTTTCTTGGAAAACATTCGTTCATTAATTTCTCTAAAGTAGAGTGAAGCGAGTTCACCGCGGTATCGAGGTCAAAGTTATCATTAACGTGATTCCAGTCTTGTTCGAGGAGCTTACGGTGAAACATGATCTTGCGATGCTCTCGGTAATCACGCATTGTGCAACTAATTCTCAAGGGCTTTAGTCTCACACCTGCTGGTAAAATTACACCTTCATGGTCTGTTTTCATTTGGGCGACAATAGGATAACACCTAGAAAAGAGAGCTTCATTGTTAGTCAAGCAATTGTCCAAAACAGAATTGCCTCGAGTTGGAAAGTCAACCAGCGCTTTTAAACCAGATAAATTCGAAAGCTTTTCCAAGTCAAGCCGGTTGAGGTCTCCTCCACATAGCACTAGTCCACTCGGATGACACTCGAGAAACTGATCTACAATGTCCGTGATATATTCAATTAAGTCGTCTTCCTGGTATTTAGATCTTGGTGGATGATAAATACCACACATCAACATATGATGGCCCGATGGTAATTCAATTTCCAGACTGATGGACTCAAACAACTCCGATAAAAACAACAAGAAAATCTTGTTATAAGTACCTTAAAGAGAAAGTCACAGCTTACATGTAAGTAATAATTATAATTATTACTGTCCAGTTTGCAACATTGAAGTACTTCATGTCTTGTGTTTACTTAATTGAAGCTTATTAATTAATTAAAGCCAGTCATTGTTTTTTTTTTCTCAACACATGTAGTTTCTCAAAAAAGTTTCAAAGCTATGATGACTACTACAGTAAAATACATTTTTGTATCAAGTTAAAATCTTTTCAGACTAATGTTCCCTAATAAGCATGTTTTTACAGTTTTTTGTGTACATTACCTTGGGAGGCATTTGAAGGGTGTCAAGGCATATACGCCCATTGCCATCAATATTGGGGTGGTAGATTTTTGTTACAAACTTCACTTTTGGTGGATAGAATGGATACCTGCAATTTTAAAAAAGCAATGAATGATACACACGGACATGGTCAATACGGTTGCCCAGCATCTTTATTCATAGACATTCTGATAAGGGACACTGGGGCGGCATCCACCAGCCAACTCTCAATCTGCATGGACAATATGCCACTTCCACATTTCCCATAATGCACCTTATTTGCCCCCAAAATTTTGCATAAGGATTGTTTTCAATTTCTCTTGGGATGTCTGTAATACCCAGGAGAAATGAAAAACAGAGGTTATGCAAAATTTTGGGGGGCAAATAAGGTGCATTATGGGAAATGTGGAAGTGGCATAATTATTTTCCATGCAGATTGAGAGTTGGCTGGTGGATGCCGCCCCAGTGTCCCTTATCAGAGTGTCTATGAATAAAGATGCTGGGCAACCGTACTGACCATGTCCGTGTGTATCATTCATTGCTTTTTTTAAATGAATGAATGATACAAACAATCTTTCATTTACCATTGAGGGTTTACAATCTTGCACTTGCTACCCACATCATCCAATGCATAAAGTACAGCTTTTGTTAAACCCATCTACAATAGGTGGGCGTGGGGAATGTGCCTAGTCAAACTGAGTGAGTTGCGAGTGATTCAGGAAGGTAACCATGATGATCCTGAAGTGGCAACCGCCAGGCGCTGTCACACTGAGTGTGACCTCAGTGGAGAGTATCACAGATACTTACCAAAGGACATCCAGATGGAAGGGAGGGCTGGGCACAAAAACGGCTAAATTAAAAAGCTACTGCACGCAGCGCAAAGGCAACATGGGAGAAATGATTGACATCAGCAAAAGCACTGTAAAATTCCTTGAGCAATGCTAAATATAAGGACTTTTAAAGAATGTGTGAACCCTGTACAAAACATACTACTTTGTTGAAAAATTAAAGTGCCATAAAATATGTCCCCTAAATGTGTTTACTCTCAAATTTCGGGTGTAAGATAATTTTCATGTGCTCTGTCAATTTTTGGCATCAGCAAGATTCCAGCCCAATGTTTGAAGGAAGTATTGGTCATGTGACCTCTTATTACAAGTGGCCTTTTATTACATCACACTCAGTCTCACTGAGTTGTTTTAAGTTTGCTCTGAATTTTAAGTGGGCAACAATTTTGCTCTCACTCTTGTGTTTTCATCTCTCAGTTAGCACTTCACCCACCTTTGTTTGTATTTCTTGGCACCTTTTTATTGATACTTGCAAAAAGGCCTGATTAGAATTTTCCCAATTTTTGAAGTAGAAGCTAACACTACAGTCTTACACTCACCTCTCAGGGAGATGTATTTCTAGTCTGAAAGAACCTCCAGCGTAAGGAGTTCCATCTGAACCAACAATTTCTGGAAAGAGAAAAAAGCGCCTAAAAAACAGTCTAATACACCCACTCAGCATCCACACATACACCAAGGGACTAAGGGGGAAAGGGGGTAATTACATGTGACCAAGACAAACTCAGACTGGTATGAGTTTGTATCGATCTCCATATATTTCTTTTCAAGCATTTACATTGGGTAAGCCTAAAAATGAACTCAGACCGGTCTGACTTCATCTTGGTCACTGACCCGACATGAGTTACTTTCGTACCAATCTGAGACTGTACCGTTCTCATGTAAAACAGAAACTAATCTCAGACTAGGTCCATAAATAGCATGTTTCTTCATATAGCTCCATCATTTTTGCTTTTTCTTAGCAAAATAGGAACACTGCTATGAATAACTGCAAACAGTTCCCGGTATTGGGAATTGTCCCTTTCTATGCGCCCCAGCATAGGGGAATAGACCAATAAGTAGGTTATGAAAAAAAAATTAGAATATTTACGGGGTATGCCCGAGGGGGATGTAGCGGTTGGTTAAACAAGCATAATTTTCAGAGGTTTAATTCGTCTTTCCCTGGACTGGGGGGTGATGCTCGAAATACCAAGTCACTACATGCGCTGTTGTGTCGTTCAATTCTGTGAAGCTTAAGGGATAGGGATTATTGTGCTGTGTTCTTTGTGACGTAACTTGAAACTTGCTATTCACTTGGTAAACATGTTGCACCAGCCAGTTTGGATGGAAGAAGAAACCTAAGGTGTAAGAAATAAAAAAAACCTGCTTGAAGCTTGTCAATTTGGTCATCAACCATCCAACATGAGATTCCAGGAGGAGGTTCTCTCGACAAAATATCGAGTTCGCGTTTCATACGAGTGGCTCTTTGCATCCTAACGCAAGTACCAGAGATGCGATGATACAAACTTTCAATGAGTTAAACTACAGCGTCGCCATGTTCGAAAATAAGCGCGAAAATAGAGCTCGCCGGGAAATAGCATTAACCAATCGGTAGTCTTGGATTTACTCACATGACTAGATCCCAGGATGTATGCGCCATCCGCAAAATCATCCGCAAGCTGTGCAAAGCAATGCAAAGCTGTAAACAGCTGTGTCATGAAACCAAGAATCGTGTTTTTCATCAGTAGAAGATATACGGATACCAAAAAGGACTTCTCATATTGCCTCTAATTTCGCTGGACTCTCCACAACAACAATGGCCAAAGGTACAGCAGTTCGACAACGGGTGAAGAGAATACACTCTAATATCTCGCGACAGAGCAACAAGGAAGTCAACAACGATAAAACAACCTTTACGAACCATGAGAATTTGCCAAGTCAAAGTTTTTGGAAATATTCTTCTTTTACCATTCTTGCATTATTGGGTAGTATGGCGTTGTTTTACTCCAAAGATAGCTTGCTGTCCTCTCAGACTTTGAGTTCAAAGAATGCTTTTCATGACAGTGAAGAAAATGTTAACCAGTTTCCCTGTCACGTTGGAGACGAGTGGTCTATTGATCGCCGGTCAAACTTAAGCTTGGAGGAATTTGTCCAATGCTATGATGCCAAAAGGTATTTTCCTCCTAATACAGGCATTCACGAGGGCCCAGTTATTCGAAGGCCGATTAGCACTTAGCCAGGGGTTAAATTTAACCCCGGGTTTCTTGTTCTTTTGTTCAAAGCATTTTCTAGGATAATTTTCTCTGTTATTTTTAAGGGCATCCAGTCATCAACTTGTTGACGTATATAATTAAACTGAATTTACTTTTAAGCTTTCAAATCTGAATTCAAATTTTGCACTAACCCTGGGTTATCTTAACCCAGCTTTGAACAACCCAGCTCAGAGGGTTACTGTACACAAGAGGGGGTAGGTTTTTGTCAGTGGGGGAGGAGCGAGGTGAGGTGTGGGAAGTTGGGGGGGTGAGATGCTACTGTCCGATCCCTCCCCGCCCCCCTCAGTTGATGACTTAGCTTTTCTTCTCACTCCTGAAGATTAAATTAAATTGCATTCTCCCCTGAAGACTTCTGTGAAATATGGGTCTACGCCTTGAAGAATATGGGTGTACTGCCGAAGAATATGGTTCTCCCCCTGGGGAATTTTGTGGAAATTAAAACTTCAGCCCTAAAGAATTTCATATTTTTTACTCTTTCCCTATATATCTAGGAAGGGGAAGGGGGAGTGGAGGCTATGGATAGATATTAAATGCAATAGCCTATTGCAACATGATCTCTGCTTGGTAATAAACTGGTAACTGGTCAAATGTATAAGGTAAGGAGGGGAATGGCTTCTGGAACAAAGCTGAGAGCCAGAAAGCCAGCAAACTGAAAACAAAATATCTGTCCTTGCAAAGTCATTGTTGATCATCTTGGGTCTGAAAATGACATTGTGCATATTATACCTCCAATTTAGCCTGCATGGTAGGTAGTTGAAGAGGGGCCCGTAGGGTAAAATTCTGATAAGTGACATGGCCTTGAATCAGTGATATAACACAGACATAATGACTTCAACAGTCACAAATAAATCTTTTAAATACCGACCAGGATATGGCTTCCTCCTCACTATGATAAACAACCGGTTTTGAAATTCATACATGTAAAAGGGCCTGTGAGAACATAAAGGATGTGCCAAGGGGGAGGGAAGGCAACTTTCGTATGTTTAAAGGTCAAATGAACCAAAAATTCGACATTTTTTATTTTAGTTCAATTCTAGTGAAATGTGTATAATATGAACCAAATAAACATACTATGAAGTTTCAGCTCAATTGAAGCAAGTATCTCCGAGATATTTGCAATTAAAAATTGCTATTTTTTGGCCCTTATCTTCGTAGAGCGGTCGGAAAAATTGTCAGAAAAAACAGCTTGTGACGTCAATGTTGGTCAGGTGAAAAAAAGGGGGAAATTCAAAACAGAGTTTTTCGAGTCGACTTGGTGCAGAAGTGGTTTGTGCGGCCATAAACCTGGAAAGAACAGGCAATTTGTCTTCAAAAGTTGCAAGCTTGTAACCTTCTTATTATTTAATTTTCTTGAAGAATACATCACAGTAAAACGGACTTTAACAACATTTACTAATTTCCTTAAGTTGCACTGGAAATGTGTGAGTCCGATTTTTTTGCAAGATGCATTCACAAAATGTGCTCATATAAGGAAGTTCCTGAATATATAAGTCCGGAGCTCCACCGTTGACACAAAAACAAAATATCTTTGTATAATAATATGCCCAAAAAAATTCAAGTTTGCCCACAATGTGTTTGAAGTCACTGAACTTTGTCGCACTCGAGCTGATATTTTAAAACCCACGCTCGATCGGACACTTCTTGCCTCGCAGATCACTAAAATACAAACAAAATCCTCAATGTAGAAGTTTTGGCGTTGATATGTGGACAGAAAAAGAGTTAATCATTATCTAGTAAATCTTACCCATGATCGGTTTCAAAGCAACCATAGCTAGTTTTCAAAGTTAAAACTTGATCGTTTCGCGCAGTTTAATTTTGCCTTATTTTGTGTTGTCAAGTTGAACATGCATAACACCTGTCAAGTAAGTAAGATTTCCTTCAAACAAAGCTATAGTTACATTATTGCAAAAACTTCTTTCCAATTATGTATAAGATTTAATTACCGATTGAGGTCACTTTAAGGACCATAGACGCCACTTTAAGCTGGCAAAAAGATGCGACAAGCAAAGAGCAATTCCATCATGCATAAAACTCAGCTTAAGTGAACTAAAAAAAGCTTCAATAAGGTTGCAAAACAACAAATTTTCATTAAAAACACAAGGCTTAAGGCTCTTATACCTGCTGACAAAGAAGAAGTGAATTTTCTGTACGGAAACAACCTACCTAAAGATCTTAAAAGCAAAAGATCAGTTGCAAGCTTCGCAGCCAAGCCATGATTCCGACTACTTACCGTAGCTAGATTAGCTACTTTTAGTAACTGGTCCATGCAAGGGTCTTCATGTTCAAGCAAATTAAACTCAGCAAACTAAATCATTAGAAAGTACAGAAAACTGCACATAAGGATTTGTTTCGCTCGCTTCAGTCAAATCCAGCTCCAGCAATTGTTTACAGGCAATGGGTCAATTGTTTTGGAGTCACTGCCGGCAGTTGTTGTTCTCCGCTACTTCACAGCAAGTGAAAGCAAAATTTGCGTACAGAAAGATAACAAAACTATGTAATTAAAACTGAAAAAACTACAGGAAAAAAACTCTGCCTATTATTACTTGAGCAACAGAAAAATGATCGAAGTAGTCTTTTCTTCTCGAGTAAGCTTGCTGGCCTTCTAAAGTTCCGAGAAAGTTTTTAAAAGCTTGTTCACTTGCATGCGTTAGCCGTTATGGTTCTTTGACTGAAGACAAGGATAAAGCTGGTTCTGCAAAGGTAAATAAATCTGGGCATGTAAAAAAAGTAACCATAACTACTAATAACAGAATACAAGCAGGTTTTAAATCAACCCGGCGAAAGAAGGCAAAGCACTGGACACAAAATCAACTCACAAATCGAATGCACAATTATCAGAAAAATACAAACCTTTTTGGAAATGTTCAAAACGTTTTATTCCACCTCAGACTGACAGAATGATCTGTTTTTACTCTAACATTGGTTGTTCTGAATCCAAAGTAATTTTCAAGTGATGAAAAACCAAAAAAAACAAAAAAAAAAGCCTTTGCAAGGAGCAAACGTTCGCACCTCGTGTATTTCATTCAGTCTCAGTCAGAACTCTCACAGAACGACACAAACAAACGCAGGCGATAAGGGATGCGCAGAAGCTTGCGCAGAACGTTTTTCCGCCCTGAAAAGACCAACATTGACGTCACGGACATCACGTAGTCTCCAGTCTATCACGCGGCCATTTCAGAAACGTTTTCGTAAAGTCTTCGGAAATGCTCGGATTTTGATCTTTTATCTTTCTATAAAGGCTTGGGAAGAAAAATATTTACCCAAATCTCACTTAGGATGGTTCTTTTTAGTGTTTGGTGAAGGTAAGGCGATAAAAGAAAATATGTCAATTTTTTGGTTCATTTGACCTTTAATACTATGCCTGAATTCCCCCTCTTCTCTTCCTCTTTTAAACAGTCTTACTGTACAAGTTGACCACAACTGTGTCCTATTTGGCTCAGGCCTGCCAGTAAGCTATCCAGGGCACTCTGGCGGTGGGGAAAAAAGGAAGGAGAACTTGCAGTCATGTCTTAGGAATTTGAAATAGTCTATGCAAAATGCTGATTGATTATTGGATCTCTTATTCACACTGAGATGTGACTGCTAGATCTCCCTCATATTTCGCCCCACTGCCAGAGTGCCCCAAAGAACTTGCTAGCAGGCTACTTTGGCTCTTAAGTGAAAGCTAATTTTTTGTGTTAGTCTGGTGCTCAGAAATGCTTCTCAGTAAGCAAACTACATGTAAACGTGGAAGATTGCAGGCAGCCATACATAGTAGTAATAGTAGTGACCTGCCCTATACATGTTATTACTCAGTCTATTTTTAGGATTTTAGAGTTAAAATAGTGTGAGAAGTGTGTATTTCCCTCTTCAAATAGCTTGCTGCCTTCTCTCCTAACCATGTTCATCATAGAGCCTGCAGTAGCTCAGTGGTTAGAGCTTCCGAACCAGAACTCTGAGGGTCATGAGTTCGATTCTCTTTTCTGAGCTTTCTGGTATAAGCATTCTCCTTCGTCCTTTTATATTGTACAGGGTTGGTTTTGTACACTGGTAGGCAGCCGATTTCGAGCAAGTCCCCAATACAGTCCTCTATGACTCACTGGTGTAAATTTCAACCCTGCTTGCCTTAGAGCCTTCAGTAGCTCAGTGGTTAGAGCATCCAAACTAGAAGTCGAAGGGCTGTGGGTCATCAGTTGGATTCTCACCTTGAGCTCAGAATTTTTCTTAGCTTTCTGGTATA